TTCTTTTAGAAGACGCTGTGACTCTCAGTGTACACGTGAAAAACAGAGTCTGGAACTTGGCCAGGGCCCCAGAGCTGGAACTTGAACTCTCGGGTCAATGAGAGTCCACAGTGTTGAGAGGGAAACAAAGAACATGATAAATATGTATGTGCCGCTATGGAATGATCTCCAGCATACAGTATAAGCAAGAAAAAAAAAAAAAAAAGAGGGGGCTGGCCAGCAGCATATAATACACTTCCATTATATAAAAAGACAAAGATTAGGGATGGGAGGGTATGCATACATATATACTTGCAGACAGGATACATAAGAAACTAATAACATTAGTGGCGCTGGGAAGGGTTTTTGAAAGAATGGGTATCAGTGGGAGAGAGATTTATTTTTCTTATGTATTTTTTAGCAGTACTGCATTTTTACCATGTCATGCTTTAAAAAAAACCCTACAGATAATTGTCATGAATTCATTAAGTTCACAAAATGATTTCAAATGCACCTTCAGGTTTCCAATAGATACTCTTGAAAAGCTCAGAGCCGAGAACACTGATGTTATGCTAGGAAGGGTGCATCTTAATTCATGGAAAAACTAATGGAACGATACAAGACTATTACTGCAAAATTTCAATGTTAGGAATTTTGCTGCACTATAACAGATACAAGGGGTATTGTGCAGTGTTTGTTTGTTTGTTTGTTTGTTTGTTTATCTTCTCTGGGTGAGCTGGAGACAGGATGGGAAGACGTTTGTATAAGGTCTCATACAAGGGAATTAGAACAAGGCCTTCTGACCAAGAGTTGTTATGTGGGTGGTTTTGGAAATGATTTCTAGAAAATTTAACACAGTGTGAACTTTGTTTTAGAGAGAATGTGCTTGTGACTCTCCTCCTCCAAGGTGACAAATTAGAATTTGATAATCTACTGAGGTGTGGCCTGCATCTGGGATTCCATTTGCTCTTCATCTGGATTCTAAGAATTCCTGCTAAAGGAGTCATAAATTGTCTCTTGACTGATTACATAAACTTTTGCTTTGAGAAGACATGT